CGCTTCTTGTTTCCAGCGTAGGCAAGTAGATTATGGCGCTTGTCATGCCAGTTTTGCAGCGTTCGGCGCGCAACGCCCAGTCGAAGGGCCGCATGTGTGACGGGCATTGTGTCAAGCAGAGCTAAGGCCTGGAGCTTGAAGGCGATCGTGTACATCTTGCGTGTCATCGTAAAAATATTGACCTGTAACTTTTTGAAAAACTTCTTGGCGGGAGAATTCTACTTCATCCAATCATATTAGCTAATTTTCATTAAAATCATTCATTGGACAAAATGCTGTCTGTTTTGGTAAAAACTTCGGTGGCCTTGCATTCCGCATTTCCCTGTAGTATTTTCGGGCAATCCTGAAGGGGACTCCATGTCAATCCTTCTCCCCTAACCCTCAGTGTCTACTTTCACTAGGTCATCTAATCTTTCGCTAGGCTACCCTAATCATCTCGCCAAACGTCTCGGAGATTTCATCGGACAATCGATCCTTGCAAGTAAAGGGTGCTGGACAATTCAATTGGCAGAGGGGTCGATCCCAGTCGTGGTCAAGATTGAAATTTCATTCTATATTCTGTTGGACAATCAGTGGCATGTCATTATTAAATGGGTACAACCATACATGATTTTTTACACTCACTAATGATGGGTGCACTTTATGCATATAAAATTCAAAATACTCGCGAGTGCAGCGATTGCGAGGTTTTTCCAAAATCATTGTATCCCTACCAACCCGTTGGCACGGCCAATTTGTTAAAGCTACTTTCTATCATATGCATTCTACCGATTTTTATTGTTTGATGTCTTATCCAATCCTTGCTTTGTGTTTTGGATTGACCAATAGCGTCGTTGCGTGATTCGATTTGACGGGGTCAGGAAAAATTGTACCAACTCAACAATACTTCAGGGGACATTTTTCCATCGCTCACTGAATTCTCCGAAAGCATTTTGGAATGACATGGGACGCACTGAGGAAATTGTTGGCGCTTTGCGGATGTCTTGCGTACTTTAAGGACTTATAGCCGAAGCATTACGTCCCAGTGTAGTCGCCTCTCCATTCCGTATGGTAGTTCTACATGAAGTCGACCATGTACGTCCGACCAAAAAATTCTCCTCGTGGCGAACATCATTCATACATACAAGTATTCGTTCATGAAAAATAACTGTGCCTTTGTACAGTGTCTTCCCAAAGTCGATTTTTTGGCGTTGCATTTGTTTATTAGCAGTCATGTTCGCTTACGTTGCTATCCAATCTATGCAGCACGTGGTATCTCAATATTCAAATTCATACTGCCCAGTTTC